CCTATGGGCAGAGATTGACGTCATTCTCTGCCTTTTAGCTACTCCCATCTTTATCCTCCTTTGGTTTTTTCCCTGCAGAAATTAACCTTGGCTAAGACAGAAAGCCTGGGATGGTTTTATTTATGGGCAGGTAAAATAATTTGCCTTGGGTTTTAAGGTGAATAACAGGGTGAGTGCCTGGTTCAGGCTATAGCACAGAAAAATCATTGGAACCCACAGAAATTACTTGTCTTCTTTTATTGTTGGAGTTTCTTAAACAACTATTTAAATGCAGGCATTTCTTATTAGTGCTAAGGTCAAAACAATCTGATTTTTTTTTCCCTTCCCAGCCCCTAAAGCAGTGCAGTGTCAGTCTATTCCTCATTGCAATCGGGATTTTTCCAGCTGCCATCAAATTATGAGATGTGGGATATTGAAAAGCTGTGGGGTTCATACAGATCATTGGGAATAGCTAATTCCAATATTGCTGAAGGGGAAAAACTCAACAGGCAGCCAGAGCTGTGCCCCATTCGGCTTTTCATACATGTAGTACTGCGAGAAACCAGAAATAACTGCAAAAATAAAAGTACACCTCAGTTTTTCATACGTCTAGCACTGCGAGAAACCAGAAATAAATCCAAGAATAAAAGTACACCTCAGTTTTTCATACGTCTAGCACTGCGAGAAACCAGAAATAAATCCAAGAATAAAAGTTACACCTCAGTTTTTCATACATGTAGCACTGCGAGAAACCAGAAATAAATCCAAGAATAAAAGTACACCTCAGTTTTTCATACGTCTAGCACTGCGAGAAACCAGAAATAAATCCAAGAATAAAAGTTACACCTCAGTTTCTCAACGGGGAAGTTGGTGGAGAGGTAAGGCGGGATGTGCTTTGTGCCAGGAATTCTCACTGAACGTGTCTTGGCACCAAGCACTGGGAGCAGGCTTGGGCAAAATCACCTTTTGCCTTCAGAAAACGGAATAAAAGCTCTGCAGTGCCAGAGTGACATGAAATTGGGTGAGCTGGGTGGATTCCAGGAGAAACAAACTCACTCCTGCACACCTGGCTGCCTTCACCTTTGATTTCATGGCATGATCCAGCCAAAATGGGTGGGAAAAAGTAGAAATGGCCCTGATTTTCTGCCAAGTTCATGCCCCAAATCCCTGATTTTTGCTTTGCTGTGAACATTCCCTGATTTTCTTTAGGAAGCAGAGCTGGGTTGAGGCAGGACCCTGTTTTATTCCAGCAGCTCTTCGACTCAGGTGTGAACCTGCAGCAAACCCTTCCTCACCACGAGCTGCAGGATCCAGTGAATCCACAGAGGTTCACAGATGGAAAATAAATTTTCAGAGTTTCGAGGAAAATTCTGCTCCTCAGAGCAGCAGGCTGAAGGTGCTCGGTGGGAGCAGGAGCTGTCTGAAGAGTTAAATCCAAACCAGTCCAGCTCTCCAGAGAGCCTGGAAGGCTTTGGGACACAATTCCCGATTTTTTTCCTTAATGAACAGCGAGCTCCATCAAAGGCCGGGAGATTGAGGACAAAGAGCAGCTGATGTGGCTGCTCCGAGCCGGGATGTGCCCCGAGGCCTCTGCTTCCACCCGGGAATTGCAACAGCAATTGAGAATCATCGCATCACTCTCTTCCCAGGAGCCTGGGGGGAGAAAAGTTCCCTCCTTCCCTCTCTGAGTTTATGAGGATGCTTCCTGTTTAGTCCTCTGATCAAAGAATAGAATGTATAAATAAACACAACGGGGAAAGATCATCCAAGTAATTTGGTTTGAATCTTACCAAGTCACTTCCCGAATGACAGCCAAATGTCGGTATAAAATAAAATAATTTGGTTTATAATTTGGTTTATTATCTCCCGGTGCTATGAGGTCTCAAATTGGAGCTCTGTTCCGCGGTGTGTTTATGATTTGAGTTACTGCTCTTGCTTTGCAACCAAAAGTGAGGATTTGTTAAAGAAATTATTTGGAATGGGGGAAAATCTTCTCATTCCTCCTGTCCTTTGGCTTTCATCCCCTGGAGGATGGAAGTTGGCGGTCGGAACAAGATGATTTTTAAGGTCCCTTCACAGGACACCTGAGAGGCAAAGCGGAGGACAAGGAGAGTTCCTCTCTTCCTAAGCATTTCTCTCTTCCTTCTCTTGGCTTTTCCAAGACTCGGCCTGAATCACTGAAATCAATTTGTCTGCCACGCCTCCTCTTGCCCTCGTCCTCTTCCTTTTTTCCTCCTGGAGTTGTTCACCGGGCGTTTTTCTGAAGCACATCCCATCTAACAGAGAGCCTTTTGTTCTGCTCGATGTCATAACTTGCACTGCTTCCTTGGGCAAGAGCATGAAAAGAGTCTTTTAATCTCCCCGTGTTTATTTTTTAATAGGGAACACCATAATCAGTAGGTGGAGGTGACTTTTCATCTCAGGAGCTGTGAGGGGGGAAGGCAATTTGGAGATCATTTTTTGGGGCGCTTACAGAGGGAGCTGCCCACGGGCACAAACGCTGGATCAGAACGAGTGAGTTTCTTTTTCTGTGTTATCAGGAGTTGTTGTAGGGATTTTGTTTTCTTCTGTTCTCCAGCTCAGCCTCTTCATGATTTTAAAGCTCACGGGATCATTTAGGCTGGAAAAGATCTTTGGGATCATTGAGTCCAACCTGTGGCCGATCCTCATCACCAGAGTTGAGTGCTGTTTCCTTGGACACCTCCAGGGATGGGGACTCCAAACCTCCCTGGGCAGCCCCTTCCCACGTTTAACAGCTTTTCCATGAGGAAATTCCCTCGGATGTCCAGCCAGAAGCTCCCCTGGCACAGCTTGAGGCCGTTCCCTCCTGTCCTGCCCCTTCACCTGGAGCTGTGTTTGCGCACCTCGAGGTGCTCCGAGGTCTCTTCTCAGCCTCTGCAGCTCCACCAAAACCAAACAGATCTTTCAATGAGGGAAAAATAGCAGGAAAAGAGGAAATTTGGGAACATCTTTTCCAAGAGAGGGGTGTATCAGATGAAGGGAGGGGGAAAATTGTCAGAACTTGAAATTTAGTGAAATTTAATGAATTTTGTCAAAACTTGCAGTGGCGGGAGGCAAAACTTCGGGATTGGGGCAGGCATGAAAACAGGAACTGTTTTCTGTAAAGTTTTACCTTGATATTCTGATTTTCAATGCTTTTTGAAAAGAAGGGAAGTTGAACTCTTACCAGAATAAAAGTGGAGTTCTTATTTTTCCCTTTCCATCAGGTAAAAACTTTTTACCTCCAGCTTTTCCAGGCAGGTGTTGTAACTCCCTGGAATCAAATTCTTGGATCCATGTGGTCAAACAATGGCTTTAACTCTGCGGTAGACTCACAAATAAATTTATAAATAAAGATAAATCTGAAGTACACATCCAGCCAAACAGAAGAAATTCTTTGAGTAACGTGAGCCTGTAAATGTAAATATTTCCCAACTAATGCTGCATCTTTCCTGGCTCGTAACTCCAGGGAGGCTCATCCTGCTCTTCCTGCAAGTTATTGCTGAATTTCATGGGATGTTTGAGAAATTAAGGGAATTTAATCAACTTGCTAAATAATAATGATTTTTAAAAAAAAACCAAAAAAAACCATTAAAATCATGGTTGTGTCTTCTAATCCCAAAATTAACCCTTTGCAGAGGGAAGGAGACTTCTGGGAAGGATTGGAAGAGTAAAGAGGTGACGAGGGAGAAGTGAAATTTTTCCTTGTAATTCCCAGTGTTTGCTATTTTGTGGTCACAGAAAATGACCTACTTTTTCCAGTTAGATCAGTTCTTTTCTGTCATTTTTGGGGAAAAAAAAATGCTGAATTGGTTTAAAACACTTCCCAGGATATTGCTGCTTGAGAATGTAATCTTTCTGCAACTCCTCTTCAGCCTCATTTGTAACAAGATTTAGGATTTATATGTATTTATACATAGCAGGTTCATTTGTGCTTCAGCTATTGCACTGCAAATTCCAAGGATTAGAATTCCCGCTCCTTAATCCTGCTGGGCTGTGGAGGAAACTCTGGTGTCCAAATAATGGACTTTTTCTAAAAATCTGTGTAGGACAAAGCTATTGATTGAAGCCACTGTCACCTTTTCCCTTTGAGCTGTGATTTGAAATATAAATCAGGAGAAGAAGTGGCTCGTGGAGGTGTTTTTACAGTCCAGGGTTTGTTTTATTCCAGAATTGGAAGTCCTAATGTATTCCAGTATTCCCTAATTCCGCTCTCACGGGAATATCATCGATCTTGAAGATATCCAAAGAGATTGTGAGGCTTTGGATGGCGGTGGGTCCCACAGAGATTTGGGATAAAACATTGATTAATTCTTGGAGAGTTTTAAGGACAAACCACAAAAACCAAGAGCAGAATGAGCCCTCACTGGACAATAATGCGGATTATCACGTGCACCAGCTTCTTCTGAGACACAAATCCCTGTCCTCTTTATTTTTCCATCCTTATCCTTCAGGAATACTCCAGACCAGCTGTATTTGCCTAACTCTGATCGATTTTCTCTCAGAGCTTCCAAGGAGCGTTGCTCTCATTGATACCCAAACCTGTTATGAAGCACCACGGGAGCACAAGGCGCTGCTTATTTATTCTCTTTTATTTTTTCAGGTTTTGATTTCACGGTGCTTTCTGATGCTCAGGCAAGAAATGACATCTTGGCTGTGCCTTCACTCTGGTCACAGCCCTGGAAGTTCTGTGGGAATTTAAAGAGCTGAGATAACGTGCTTGCTGGGAATGTTTTCCTTCCACGGATACCCCTTCATGAGAGAACTGAAATCCACCCTCAGGGCAATTTACCCATCTAATTCCCACTGATTTTAATGCAGATGGAGGACATAAATATCCCTTGGGAATATTTTCATTGTCTCCACGCTCACCTGTCTTCCTAAACCTCCCGAGTTCTGTCCTGATGATCATTTCTCCCAGCAGCCAGAAGATCGCGGTTGCGATGAGACAAAAATGAAATACCCCACAAAAGCGCTGCTTTCCACTGTTGAATTCTCCTTTTTTTTTCCCTTTGTGCCAGCCCTTCCACCCCATGGTGAATCTGGAATGCTCCCGGGATTTCCGTCCCTTCCTGTGCGCCCTGTACGCCCCGGTGTGCATGGAGTACGGGCGGGTGACGCTGCCCTGCCGCCGCCTCTGCCAGCGCGCCCACAGCGAGTGCTCCAAGCTCATGGAGATGTTCGGGGTCTCCTGGCCCGAGGATATGGAGTGCACCAGGTGAGAAAATACCTCTTGGTTTTTGGTTTTTTTTTATTTTATTTTATTCCAGGGTAAAATTTTACTCCCATCCAGGATGTTCTACGTAAAAAAACAGGTGTTTTAAATGTTTTCCGTCACGAGGGTTTCCTGAGGCGGGAGGTGAGTTCCTATTTCTGCCCGGGGGATCAGCTGAAAATCGGCTGGGTTTGATGAGGGTGAGATCTCAAAGCTGTTTGCAGAGCATGTGCCCCTCGCTGAGCTGCGAACAGCTTTACATTGCACAAATAAATTTATGGAAAATCGATCCACTGGTGTTCCAAGCTGTTTGAGACAGAATATACATGAGAGTAAAAAGCAGTATCTTTGTGCTTCTTTGTTTTTTATAAGTGGCTCCAATGGTTAATGGAACTGAGGAGCACAAAAAGGAGGAAATAGTTTACAGTTGGATTGGAGAGAATGAAAAACAATTAAAATAGTTTTAGTTAAATAGGTCAGAGGATGTTTCTGGGTTACAGGTGTTGCTCCAATCTCTCCTTCGAAACTCCAGCAGTCCTCAGCCTCCAGTCACAGCTTTATTTACACAAATATCTCCAATAATTCAATTTATTAATGCTGGTGTCAGCTACGCAAATATCTTGATCATAGTTCCATTTATAAAAACTAGCGTTGCTAGTTGGAATTTTGGTGTCGCCGCCTGTCTGAGGGCAGCGACTGCAGTTCCCTAGGAAAGGCTTTAAAATGTTTTTAAAATCCTGCTGCCGTGGGCTTGAACTCACAGATTTCCTGGGATGGATTTTGCATCCTTACCTTCCTTCTTAAAGCCCAAACAGGCTCCTCATTTGTTTTATTTTTAAACTAATTTTATGTAGCTTCAAAGTTATAATTTTATATACTACAAAGTAGTGCAGAATTTCATGGATTCCCCGTGCTTTGGGTTGTCTGCTTTTGCTCCGGTTGGTTTTCCTGAAGTCACACCTAGAAATGAGGTTACCAGTCCTTGTAAACTGTGAGTACATCCCTCGTAAATGCCTCTTTTCAGGTTCCCAGATTGCGACGAGCCCTATCCCCGCCTGGTCGACCTCAACCTGGCCGGCGAGCCCACGGAGGAGGCCCCGATGGCCGTCCAGCGTGATTACGGCTTTTGGTGTCCTCGGGAGCTGAAAATCGACCCAGACCTGGGTTACTCCTTCCTCAGGGTCCGGGACTGCTCCCCTCCTTGCCCCAACATGTACTTCCGCCGGGAGGAGCTGTCCTTCGCCCGCTACTTCATCGGCGTCATCTCCATCGTCTGCCTCTCGGCCACCTTGTTCACCTTCCTGACCTTCCTCATCGACGTCACGCGCTTCCGCTACCCGGAGAGGCCCATCATCTTCTACGCCGTCTGCTACATGATGGTGTCCCTCATCTTCTTCATCGGCTTCCTGCTGGAGGACCGGGTGGCCTGCAACGCCTCCAGCCCCTCCCAGTACAAGGCGTCCACGGTGACCCAGGGCTCCCACAACAAGGCCTGCACCATGCTCTTCATGGTGCTCTACTTCTTCACCATGGCCGGCAGCGTCTGGTGGGTCATCCTCACCATCACCTGGTTCCTGGCCGCCGTGCCCAAGTGGGGCAGCGAGGCCATCGAGAAGAAGGCCCTGCTCTTCCACGCCAGCGCCTGGGGCATCCCGGGCACCCTCACCATCATCCTGCTGGCCATGAACAAAATCGAGGGCGACAACATCAGCGGCGTGTGCTTCGTCGGCCTCTACGACGTGGACGCGCTGAGGTACTTCGTGCTGGCGCCCCTCTGCCTCTACGTGGTGGTGGGAGTCTCCCTGCTGCTGGCTGGAATCATCTCCCTCAACCGCGTCCGCATCGAGATCCCGCTGGAGAAGGAGAACCAGGACAAGCTGGTGAAGTTCATGATCCGCATCGGCGTGTTCAGCGTGCTGTACCTCGTGCCCCTGCTGGTGGTGATCGGCTGCTACTTCTACGAGCAGGCCTACCGGGGCGTGTGGGAGACCACGTGGATCCAGGAGCGCTGCCGGGAGTACCACATCCCCTGTCCCTACCAGGTGAGCAGCACCTCCCAAATCTATACCCACCACCCTTCTCGTCCTGTCTCGCGCAGGGCTGGGCTGCAAATGTGTCCCAAGAACTGCTGGCACTAGGGGATGTCAGTCTTGCTCGTACTCCTAGATGTTGAATGAATTTTTCAATGTTATTTCAATATTATTTCAATATTTTCGATATTTTTCAGTATTAAGATTCCTTAAGGTTCCTTTTATATTCCGAGTATTTACATGCAGGCATGGCCACAGAGCCTCACCTACTGTCGTTCTCCAAGTGTTATCCCAGGAACAAATAGAAAGATTTTATTTTACAAAACACTGACCTACAGACTCTTTAGTCTTATAAGTTCAATTTTTAATATTAAAGTCCCAGAAATTACCAAAGCACAAAGAAATTACTCGGAACGAAACAAACGTAGAAAATTTGGATTTGTTTGGGGGGAAAATGAATTCTTTGTGCCCTCCCTGTGGGGAAGGGGTGAAGGTGGTGGACACGATGATGGTGGATTTGAAGCAGTGGAATCACTTGGAATTTGAGCTGATTTGGGCTGATTCCAGGGACTTTTTGGGTCTCTTTCCACTCAAAGGAGATGTTGAGAGTGGAGTTTTCCCTCCTTGGACTGGGGTTTGTCACAGGTGGAAGTGCTGGTCACACAGAGATGTTGTGTCCTTGGAGATGGTGCCCTTCCCTCTGGGAACCTCCCCCCCAGGCCTCAGGAAGGGCCCTGTGACCCATCCCCAGCAGAAAAGTCTCCTGCTCAAGCAGCTGAAGGTCTGCAGGGAGCAGCCCTTGGGGCCAGCGGCCGATGAAACCAAAAGACCTCGAATTCCCGACCACGGGGGGATTGCGAGAGCCCCAAGGCAGGAGGGGGCTGTGGCTGCCCTTTGCTCCTGGCCTGGTGGGGCTGAGCAGCCTGGGGGGGTCTCAGAGAGGGTTTGTGGGGTGGGTGGGTGGGAAAAAGCTTCCTCAGAACGGGAAGAAATTCCTGCAGGAGTGTGGAAGCTTCCTGTGGAAGCTGAGCTGGGTGGCTGGGGAGAGTTACTCGTCGTTCCTCGCTCAAAGCGCTGCTGTTCCTACTAAAAAAAATTATTGGGATAATGCCTTAGGGTGTTGTTGGGAAATCAAAAGCTCCCATCAGCTGCTTGGTGAATTTTTCTGGAGTTTCTGGGCTGTGTGGCACCTCCAAGGGATGTAAAGATGTTGTTTTAAACCATCCTCAAGACCAGGGCTTGATGAGTTTATTTTCGGTCGTTGGGAGTTTTGGTGTTTAAACCGAGTTGTCATCAGGCTGCTTTTTGTAATTCTTGTTCATCTTTTTGGGTTTTGGGGCTTTGATGGCCTGGAGGTTTGGTGCTCATTTTGTGCCGGGAACATCTGTATAAAATCTGACTTGAAGCATCTTCTGATGAAAACCAGAGCTTGCAGCTCATCAGCTTTGGGGCATTTTTCCAAGAAATTGAGACTTATCTGCTCGCTTTAATTGAGTTATCACAGGAACAGAAGCCTCTAAGAGCCCAAAGATCAACCCCTCCACTGGTTTATTCAGATGCAGTTGAAAAGAAAGGATTTTAGGGATTAATTTGCTTGCTTTTGGGCCAGAATGGCATTCCTTAAATATTTTCTGCAACTTATTTTAAAGGAACTTTATTTCCAGAGGGTTTCACAGCAAACCTCTATTTTACAGCTGCACTCAGAGGGACATTTAAAAATTAACATTTTGGGCTCTGAAGCATTTAAAACACCAGCTGAGTCATCAAAGCTCATATTTTAATGCAATAAAATATCACTTAAAGGTTTGGCTTAGGCTTGATAATAATCCTTTTATTACCTTTTAACCCTTTCTGGTTTGGGTTTTTTTTTTTTATTTCTCTTGAAGGTTTTATTAGGGTGGGAGCATTTTTATGGCAGCAGATCTCTGGCAGTGGGTGTGTGCAGTTCCTTTGGCTTAATTGAGTCTTCACTGCTGCGGGTTTTCATCCGTTCAAACCGGCTGATGCTTCAAAACAAAGAGAAAAAATAAAAAGCAGCGACACGTGGCTTTCTCTTCATTAATTTCCAACACCCACCGCGTGCCAATCAAAATTTAAAGATCCATAAAAATCACGAGGGTTTTGGGGAGGCAAAATTTCCAGCAAAAAACTTGTTTTAAACCTCGAAACCGAGGACGGGAACGATGAGAAATAAGTAGGAAAACCGTTTCCATAACGGCCCAGCGGGAGTGAAAGGAACAATAATGGTTTCATTCACATCAAATTGGGTTGAAGGACCTGCAAACCCCAGGGAGTGTTAGAGGAGTTGTTTGTTGGGCTTTTTTTTCTTTCTTTTAACCCATCCATTTATATTTTTTCTCCCTCAAGCTAAACACGCTTCCCATATTAAACAATCCGGATTTATAACTGAAACAGATTCCCAAAGCTGTGGGGGGAAAATGATTTTATCCTTAGCTCTTGCTAGTGAAATACATCCTTAAATTAGGGGGAAATGTGGAGTTTTGTGGGGAATATCCCTCAGTGGTGAAATAAGAACCTGTTTTTACGAAGCTTTAATGTTATTTAATTAACTTCCAATGTTTCTGGGTTGTGGCGGTCGGAGGCTTTTTCCCAACACCAGCAAATCCGAGGTTAAAAAAAAAATAATCCATCGGGGCGTGACATCATCTTGGCCATGGGAGATGATGCCACAGGAATTCCTTCTGGAAAATTCCCTGTGAGGGGGGTGGGAATCTGCAGCTGCTCCTGGTGGGAGGGTCGGTGCTGTGCCGCAGATTCTCCTGCCTGCTCCACAGCCAGGCTGGGGTTCCGATAAAAAACAGAAACTGTGTTTATTTGGCTGCCTAAAAACCAGAAATATTCCCAAAACTTGAAATATTCCCCGAGTGGAGAAAGCCACAAGATCCCTTTATGTGGGAAATCACCCACTCTGATTCCTGGCGTAGCCTGGGTTTGGATTCTCCTGGTTTTTTTGGCAAATCTGGGAAGCATCCATTGCTTTCCTTGTGAAATAAAATCTTCTTTGCCCCCGGGGCAGGGAATCCATGTCCCAGTTTTCCCTCTCCTCGTGGACAGGGACAGAAGGAATTTGTGGTGCCCTGTCCTGCGCTCTGTGCTCCAAAATCTGGGAGAGAGCAGGAAAGGAAATCTCTGCTCACGCTGGCCTAGAGCTGTCCTGACCCTTCCACTTCCCTCTTTACCGAGGTTGGGACATTTTTCTTTTTCTGGAGGGGGAAACAGTGCCTCTGGGATCTACTTTGTGCACTGGAATACTCAAACAAGGAGCTGAATTTTGAATTTTGGGTCCATGAAATGAACCCAGCGTCACCTCACGGCTCCCAGGGCGGAGCCTCGAGAGAATTTCACCGTTCTCGATAATAAATTCTTGGTGCTGGCTTGGTTTGTTTAATCCTGCCCCAATGTTCAGCTCTCAAAGTTTCTCTCTTTCCTCTCTCATTTGCAATTCCTTCCCAGATGCTGATGGAATGGGACATCCTGTGGGAGTTAAATCAGATCCAGGTGCACTGGGATAAAATTTTGGGCTGCAGAAGCACAAAATGTCCCCAGGTTGATGGGGAGGGTCAGGTTGGATTTTAGGAAAAGCTTCCACTCAGGTTTTAAATTCCTATTGGCATAAAAGCTGTGATTTCCTTTCCACCTGACCCCAGAAGTAAAGGCAGAGGTGAAAAGGGAATAAAAAAAGCAACTTTGAAGTTCATTTATCCGCTGTTCCACATCCTTGTCCTGCACTTATCCTGGTTTATTCCTTGCAAGGAGAGTGATGGAGTTTTTATTCCTCTTGGAATTACAAAGAAAATCAAAACTGGGCCCCAGTGACCTGCCCCAGTCTGTGGAAAAAGGTCCCAAAACTGGGATGAATTTGGCTAAAAAGTGAAATAGAGACTCAGTAAAGTCTGTCCCCAAAGCTCCTTGTAATGTACATTTCTCGCGTGAAAAGTAGGAGTTCAAAAGTCAAGAAAAATCTCATTTCCTGCAAAATAAAGGAGGTTTTAGGTTTAATTAATCTCAAATCCAAACCTAAAGAGACTCCACGAGTGCTTCAGAGGCAGACTCAGCACTGAGCTGCTGGGAGAGGCTTCAAATTTGGATACTAAAGAGATAAAAAAAGGTAAATAAAACATTTCAAAGACATTTGAAGCTGTACTGGGAGTCCTTGGGAGGAGGAACTGAGCAGGAGGAATTCGTGATCTCTTTCAGGAGCTCACATTGGTTCTCACTGGGTATTTTTATTTTGGGATTTTTTGCTGCAAAATTCTGGGAAATTTCTTGGGGGAAAAAGGGGTAGGAAAAGTGGGGGGAGGGTTTGCAGTTAATCCCCTTCAAAAATCAGAATAAACTCTTTGAAATTCACTTTCTCCATCCTGACCAGCCTTGGCTGAATCTTTATAACCATTCCAGAAAGAAAATGAGAGGTTTTTTGCCCATTTTTTGAGGATTGAATGTCAATAAGATGGAAATTCCTGGAATTTGGGAATCCCATTAGGGTTTCCCCTAATCAATAGGGGATACAATAAATAAATAAATAGGGAATAAAGATTATTTCACTTTGCTGCTGATAGGGAGGAGTTTTTCTGCAGGAATGATGAGCACAACTCTTATAAAAGTAATTTTCACCGAGTTCTTTGAGGCAGTTCATGTGCTTATCTCTAAATCTTTTCCTTCTGATCTCCTCTTTAAAAAAAAATTAAAACTGCCTTGGCATTTTGAAGAATTTAATTATTCTGAGCTGTAAAATGATGTCATAGCAAATATCTTTCTTATCAGCAACAAAAATAGACAATCCCATTTTTTTCACTCTTTCTTTTGTTTTCCTCTCCTGTCTCATTCCAAGTCCAAGCCCCAGCCTTGCTGAGGGATAAAATTAAATGTGGCTCATTAACATCCCCAAAATTGCTTTGTTTTGCTGCTTTTTTTAAAGGCTGCCCACGCAGCAGGGGCAACATTTCCAAGTTTCATTCCTCCTTGGTTTTATCCTTCCCTCTGCTGAATAT